CGATCGTCGGACGGTTTCTTTCCTTCCTCCCCTGAAAACGACGGTCGTCGGATGGTTTCTTTCCTTCCTCCCCTGAAAACGACGGTCGTCGGACGGTTTCTTTCCTTCCTCCCCTGAAAACGACGGTCGTCGACGGTTTCTTTCCTTCCCTGCAGCGGAGGAGGGCGACGCAGAGGAGCGAATGTCGGTGCTCACAGAAGCTTCGCGCATCATCGGCGAGGGCATCGACAACGTACAGCGCTCGCGCTACGTCTTCGGCGCCATCTGCGTCGTCAGCGTCTGCCTGCTCGCGCTCACCGTCAACATCGAGTTTCCGTGGGGCACGCAGAGCGTCGCCGTCGCGCTGCGCATCTGCATCTCGGCCGCCGTCGCTTACAGCTTCTGGATGGCCGTCGTTGAGAGCCGCAAGGAGATTGTGTCGATGTTGGCTGCGACCGCGGGGCTGCGCGTGTGCGTCAACACGCTGCAGCGCGGCTCGACCGCAGGTCGGGAGGAGAGGGATGCGCGCGAGACGACGAGCGGGTAGCTCTAGGAGAATATCGATTTTCTGCTCGCGAAGGACCGGGTCGAGATTGGGTTTCGGGTCGAGACTTTAGCAAGCGCGCGGCGGGCAAAAAGCGAGGCATCTTTTTCGGGTCGGGCGATTGACGTGATATCTGTGAGTATAAAAACATCTAGCCGTGTGGCTGATCATGTGTAATTTACATTGCGTGGCATTTTGCGCTGTATATTCCGTTCGTGCTCGACTGTAGCCATGCGCGTGATGTTATTAATTGCCAATGTGATTTCATGACGTTTTTAAACGTATCACAAATTGTGTTTGATCATTAATTTTGCACATCATTGCACATTCCGTTACTAAAGTGTGATCATTTTCAATCCAATCATGTCTGATAAAATGATGTATCAGTAAGTAGTAATATCTGTTACAGCATAAGAAGTCACGGCCAGCGTGATTTCAATTAGTATGCAAAATACACATTACAAAAATAACCATGATGGTTGCCACGGTGATTTATATAGGAATTATTTACACCAAACTTGTGTTTAATCACGAAATTAATTATGAAGTTTAATACAGGTTATAAATAGCAAAATTTGGTAGCATAAACCACACCTTTACTGTTTTTCAGTTGGGCTTGATTTTTATACTGTACTCTTATATGTATTGGATTATGCCAAGAATATCTAGTCTTAATTTCTTTTTCTGTTTAGATATAGAACATTGACTTTTTCTGAAAGGTAACTGCTACAAAATTCAGAACATTGCACAATGGATCATGTTACGAATTTGCACGTGACACTACTGTTATTCGAGTTTCTCAATCATGCTTATAAATACTGTATATACCGGGTAATGTACTGTTTCCAATTTGTTTGTGTTAATTAGGCCAACTTTTTTGGGGGGATTTACAGAATTTTTTTGTTGTTGACTCGGTAGGGTAAAAAAAAAATTGTCAGATCTAACAAGTCAAAATACAGTGATACTGTTATACATGATATGAATACCTGTTGTGATATTTCGTTGCAATCTGTCAAATTCAATTCGTGAACATCATGCGCAAAGCATCGAATACAATCGGCAGAATTCGTGTTTAGATTTTCAGCCAAAATGTTAATTAGCTTGTGTCACAAACATTCTTTATTGGTGTAAATCATTAACTTTAAAGTTATAAGGGGAAACGCGAGACCGTCTTGTAGCAGTTCTTCCCGAATAATATGATTTACATTACATTAGGCAACTCTGCAACAGATGTTCCAGGCTAACAGGAATACACTGACCTATACACATGCTTGCGTTCATCACAATTACACTTTAACCATTCCCATCAATGTTACGTGGCTGTCGTTGTCTGACTTATAGTGCGCGAAGGGAACATGGTACGGAAGTTTGCGAGGATGAAAACGCGCTCGGAATCGCCGGATGCGGATAATCGATGTTTCTCTTCATGGTGAAACGATCTGCATTTTACAGAGTGAGAATATCGCCAGCCTTGTTCTCCAATAGCATCTCCATGGACTTGACAGCGACGCACCACTCAGTCAGTCGCTCCTGCATGCTGGCAATCTGAAACAACATCATAATAAACCGACCACTTCAGCAAAACTACTCCCCTTCGCTTGGTGACACTCATACAAACAACAATATACTAGAACGATGTGAGAATTAGTTCTTCTGGCAAGGACATAAAACCGTAGATATTGAAATCAAACACTGATCATACAATGCTACACAAAACATGTCTTAACATTCTCTCGCCATATGATGCTACATTTATAATGCAACTACAACTGTATAATGAATTGTAGGCATTTGCAAACACCAGAAAAATATATAACAATAATAATAGAAAGTAAATACAAAGAAGACAAAATAAAAATAAAAATAATTTAAGAAAAATAATAAAAGTAATGAAAGTGTCAATGACACTGTAGCTCACCTTGGGTGTGATAGAAGAGGGAGGGGGATATATAAAGCAAGAGTATATATGGGAGAACTCCCATTATGTAGCATATCTCCCATTATATACTCTTGATAATGATATATGTATAAGTTTTGATGCAAAAATAAATGTTTCAGATCTGAAAGTCTGAAATCTTGACGAGACATGGCGCTACGCCTAAATTATCGCCATTTTGGTTTTTGCCATATCACGCAAATAAAAACAATAAATTATTCCAGTCAAATTACTGTAATGAAGTATCTAAAACACAATATTTACATGTATATTGGTATGATTGTAGAGTTGTTGACCAGTTAGACGAAATAAACGTAATAGGACGTTGTCATCTCTCCCATAGGAGTAACAACTGTTTTGGGGCTAGCCTTACACATTCACATACCAAAATTTCACAAAATCGAATGAATTTAGATGGCCATTTTCATTTTTGCCAAAAAGTGGGCGTGGCTCGAAAGTAGGTCGTCTGGCGTGCTCCAAAATATGAAGTTTAAATCTCTCCCATAGGAGTAACAACTATTCAATTTGATACGTGGCTCAAACGGTTCTTGAGTTATCATTGACCGTAGGCAGACACTGAAAATGCATAGTGAAATTGCCAAAATCTACCTAATTTGCATAATTTAAAAAAATATCAAAACCTGTGTGATATGTTTTGGGGCCAGTCCTTATTCATTTACATACTAGAAAAGAGCAAAACCCATTGAACCTGAACTGACTTATATGGCCATTTTCATTTTTGCCAATAAGTGGACATGGCGCGAACGTAGGTCAACTGGCGTGCTCCAAAATAGGACGTTCAAACCTCTCCCATAGGAGTAACAACTATTTGCAATTTGAAACATGTGGGTCAAACGGTTCTTGAGTTATCGTTGACCGTAGCCAAATGTTGACGGACGGACGGACGGACGTACGACGAACGACACAATCCATGGCAATAGCTCATCTTGACGATGTCAATGCGAGCTAATAAAAACACATGACGCGGAAGGAAAAGGAGAAAAGAATAGGAACTGGTGGCGCCTCCCGCTGGGATATTGTCGTACCTGTTGCAGGTCAAGCACTCGTGGCTGCACCCAGGTCATGTGCACCTTCTGCTCAGTCTCATCGATGGAGCCTTTGACGAGCCCCAGTGACAATGCCTTCATAACCAGCAGTTCCACCTGATAAACAACAGACATGTGAGCTAATGAAGACGTGACGAGGACGGCGGGGCCATCTCTATGGGACGCAGGCCCTCTGCCACTACCACAAGTGGGTTTGTCAAGCTCATCACTCAATGCCACTAAGCTATCAAATTAATGTGATGAACATAGGATATTGGGAACAATGAAGTGCACTGCACATCAACACAACAAATTGCACTCCAATACTAATGTTAAATCCGATCCTGATGTAGATGAAAGAGGTAAGCTTATCAAACTTGCATAATCTCTTAATAATATTCATGATGCTCTCCTTTTTATCTAAAGATTTGATCCAACACATGCATTTTACAAACCTCGTTCACTGGAAGCCGGGTTTCTCCGGCTATTTGCTCAAATGTTAGCTGTCTGTTGTTAGCTGGCCTCTTGAAGGTCATCTAAGAAATACAGCAGGGAGAAATTACAAAATAACATGTACACAAATTATGCATACATTCGTCTTATTATCTTCATAACGAAAATATTCTGTGACAAGTGATTTTCTTGCATAATACCTTGGACTTTATCGAGTTGCTAATAATAATATCACTTAAAACTCATTATGTTTGCCGAGAGGAAATGCTCATGAATAGAGGAGACGATTTTCAGTAATTTATAGAATTGGAAACAACTACGTATACTTGAGCTCTGTACAATATCCCTTGTGTTGTAGCAATGCAATCCGACATACCTCCATCAAACAAAGCAACGAAATCTTTTGTCTCATAGCTAGTTCATGTGCGGCCAAATCCGGCTGAAAATAAATAACACTGAACCTTACTACCACTTCTAGTTACTGTTCGAGAAAATGTATAATAGTACACCTCATTAAATACCATGGACCTATACATAATCAGAAAGCATTTACACATCCCTGTGGCCCCGAGTACGACTGAACTGTAATCCTCCTCATAAATCTATTCGAGAACAAATTCATTCGAATTTAGTCATCTATCTTAAGGCAAGACTATAAGTATAAGTACCTGCTTAGTCCAGTAGGGTCTGAGACTTTCATACTTAGCTATGTTACCACTGTTGAAAGCGAATAGCATGTCAACAAGCCACTGCTTCTCTGTACCCTTCAGCGCATCCAAAATAGGGTGGGCCAACTACAATATTAAATTTGCGCATTATGAAAATCAAATTAACAATTGCTTTTTTAATACAAACCCATTAGTATTTACATTATACAATGAGCAACACTAGCCACATGTGACTCTTACGTGATAATATTATGCACCGACGCGAATCTACTGTCATCAACACTGCAGACATAAACCATCACTGTACGCTATGTAGAGATTATTTCAATTGCATCCACATCACTGATGTTCCAATTTTAATGACTGAGGTAAGAACAAAATCGTTCATCATCAACTATTCATTGCTGAGATAGCATCAATAATTATTACTCAAGCCCGAGAAACTAACCCGACGAAACTACTCCTCATAATCGTCACACAGTTTCCTGTCCAGCTTTTATATCGTTATTACAGAATGTATTGCTCGGGGATGATATTGTTGGACACGTGGTAAGAACTCTTACGTAATCATCATAGCTGTGTATATACTTACTAGCTCCCCAAAATTATATACACCGTCACCCAAAATAGCAGCCAGACCCAGATGAAATGCTCGGTCCTGCTTTTCAGGTTCTGTAAGTTAACACATTATCAAGTTGTTATGTGACAATTTCCAATGCGCGCACGAGCACGCATGCACGCACATGCACACACTCGTAAAATGCTTTTATTTATAAACATCTCTATGGACTATCAATTGACACTCTATCTCATTGTATATCATGTCGTTTTTTTATTAGGTGAGAAAATCGTATGCCTAACAATTCACAACACGACCAGGGAACAATTTCCAGGCAAAAATTTGCATAGCAAATGTGCGATACAAAATAAATTTTGCATAGCAATTGGATAAATTTGTATAGCATTTTCAGACAATCACAGTGCAAATTTACACCGCAGTGCATGCTTGGCGTGTTATCGTGTCGGCCTGTGACAGGCACAGCTAGTTTAAGCCTAGGACACACTAGCGATTCTGTACGCTGCCCGGCAGCGTTTAAACAGCGTGCGTGCGTGCGTGAGTAGGTCTTTGT